TATTTGGTGCTTGGTCTGGCTTCTTCCCAGGCAGCCGGCATGTTCCCGCTGTTCTCACTCTGACCTCAGCTCTGGCTAGCTAGAAGTACCAGCCTTAGCACCCATGAGATGCCAGCATGGTAGCTATCTCTGCCAATCCACCACGCTGGTCCCACAAAGCTCGGACGACCCCAGATAATATCTGACAAACTACTGGAACCAAGTGAATGAAGACTCTTAATGCTTAAAGATTATCCAATGGATTTATATATTTGGAAATGTTCAATTAACAAGATGCCCACATAATTAGAATAGTTGCCCAGTATCTAACCTTTTGATAGAAATTGGTACCCAGGACTGCCCTTGACCCATCCATCCTCCTCCATAGTTGCTAGCCTCTCCCCTTTTCTCCTTACCTTCCTCCTCCTTTCCACTGTTCGCTCCTCCCACATTAGCTCCTCCACAATTACCAAACATTATTGCAAATATAATGTAGCAGTAGCAGGAAAATATCCTGGTACAAACAATTGAACTTAAGAATTTTTGTGTTACTGCTCTGGAAAACACATAAAAAGGCAAGTTTGACCTTCAAAGCAGGATTGTCCTAAATACTTCAAACCAGTGCTGTAGAATTCACTTGAACTTTATGACAATGTTCTTGATTCTGATTTTTTTTTAATCTACAGCTTACTTTTGGGCCTTTTGATAGACTTCTGAGTGAACAAAGACGGTTTTCTTCTCTGTACCAGGTGGCCCCCAAAGACACATTTCTGACACATGGCATTATATCTTTGATGCTTCATTTCCACTGGATCTGGGTGGGGCTATTCATCATAGATGATGACAAAGGTGCCCAGATTCTGTCAGATTTGAAAAGTGAGATGGATAAAAATGAAATCTGCACAGCATTTGTAGAAATGATTCCAGTCACCAAGGGTTCATTTTTTACCCAAACCTGGAAAAATCAGGTGCAGATCCTGGAATTATCATCAAGTGTGATTATTATTTATGGGGATTCTGATTCTCTATTAAGCTTAATAGTAAATATTAAGCAGAAGTTACTCACATGGAAAGTATGGGTACTGACCTCACAATGGGATGTTTCTAAATTTGATGATTATTTCATGATAGACTCATTGCATGGGGCTCTTATTTTTTCACACCATCGTGAGGAGATTCCTAATTTTACACATTTTATGCAGAAATACAACCCTTCCAAATACCCAGAAGACACTTATCTTCATGTATTGTGGCACTTATTCTTCAATTGCTCATTTGTTAAGAAAGATTGTAAGATTGTGCACAACTGTTTGCCTAATGCCTCCTTGGGTTTCTTGCCTGGAAACATATTTGACATGGCCATGAGTGAAGAGAGTTACAATGTGTACAATGCTGTGTATGCTGTGGCCCACAGTCTTCATGAGATGCTTATCAATGAAGTACAACTTCAAACTCATGAAAAAGTAATAAAGATAATATTCCTCCCTTGGAAGGTAATGTCACTTCAGTGGTATTGTGGTATCAGCAACATAACACTTGAAGACATTATAAATTCACTGAAACTAGGCAGTACATACTTTTGAATATTTTGTCAACAATCTGCAAGAGAGACTGTGAAGTGTATGAGTGTGTTTGTGTGTGTGTATCATATACATATATATATATATATATATATATATATATATACTCTTATATACACATAATTTTCAATATGAAAGGTCCATTTTCTGCAGGGATTTCACACAACTAGAAAAGTCATAGACAGGGACTTATCACAACGAATATGAACACATCTAAAATGCTTACATTATGTAAATTATCGCTCATAAAATCATTAATTTTGCAGTGTGAAATTCTAAATGTTTTTAAAGTGTAATTGGGCATGACTATATTTTCAAAAGCGCTGAGAGTTTTCTCCATGCACAGTCATGATTTAGGGGTTCTTGGTTCTAAGTATTTTAATGAAACTGCTTGGAACATTTTAGAAGATAATGATACTTTCAGTATCAAGTAGTAGATATAATTTATACCTATATTAAAGATACTTTTTACATCAGGGATTAATATCAAATACAGATATTTCCTGATTTTGCTTGGCTTTCTCTTCTTTGGAGTTTATGTAATATAAATGCATCCAACTCTCTTAGCTTCACCCCTTTCTAAGGAAAACAAAACTCATCAACCAGGACGGAGTGAATGTGGTTCTGGATTGGAAAAGGAAATCACATGTAGAGTATGACATTCTCAACTTTTGGAATTTCCCAAAAGGTCTTGGGCTAAATGTGAAAGTAGGAACATTTTCTCCAAATGCTCCAAAGGACCAGAAATTGTCCATATCTTCTAACACGATACAGTGGGCCACAGGATCGACAGAGGTAGGTTGCATCTTACTTCTGTGTTCTGAGCAGTATGTAAATCTCCAAATCATGTTTCTAAGGGTCATAATTCTTCATTGCTCATACGGGGACCACTCATAGGCAAGTAATGACCACCAATATAGACAATTATCTTAACATCTGACTTTTCAAAATGAACTATCACAGATCATCTGAAAGAAAGTTTCTGTGGATCCTGTTCTTTTTCTTCTAGTCTCAGTGTGGGAGAATTTTTCTAGGCTCACAGTTTGAGAGTACAATCTATCACTGCAGAAAGCCATGTTCTTAGGTAGTGGAGGCAGTGGTTCACATTGCGTTCACAGTCAAGGTTCAGAGACTGCTTAGTGCTGCTGTCAATATCCTTTCCTGCTTTTCATTTTTCAGGCACCATGGCCAATAAATCAGAGCCACCCACTATTAGAGATGGCCTTTTTACCTCAAGTAAACTAACCTAAGAAATATTTCACAATAATTCTCATAGATTCATTTCCACAGGGATTCTAAAACCCATCACACTGACATGATGAATATTGACCATGGAAAAAAATGATTTGTGTTTGTAACCAAGAGTAAAGAGGTAGTAGATTTGTAGTCAAACCAAGCATGATACCAAGAACATAACTT